CAGTCAAGCCTCTGGTGTCTGACCTCCTGCACCTGCCCTCTGCACCTGGTCAGCTGGACAGAAACACTGCCCTCCGGGGAGTCTCACCCTGAGTTCCAGATGGAGCCTCGGGCCCTTGGGGAATCTCCTGTCCCCGCTTTGTCCCTGCTCTCTGGCTCTCCCACAGCCCTGGAGCAGGGGTCTACGCCTTCTCTGCCCCCAGCCCCCACCACTTCCTCTGGCCTCCATAACTCCTGAGACAACCCCCACCCACAGCTGCCTGAATGCTCTGACCACTAGGCCAGCAGGGGGGTCACACTCCTGTCTATGGCAGCCCCCACCCCCACTGTGACCTGGGTCTCACCCTTCTTGGTCTCAGGAACACCACTCTTGGTCCTAGACACTCTTGTCCAAAAGACATCTTAGGCTCAACATGTCCAAAAGTGGACCACTGACCCCCTGATCCCAAACCTGCTCCCTCCCCAGCTGCCAATCTCTGTTTATGACAACAGACCCTCACACCCCCCACGGCCCCAGGCAAACCCCACACCCCCATACAGTGTGCCAGGAAGCGCTGATGGCATTTCTTCCAGAACCCAGGGCTCACCACTCCTCAGCTGGCCAGCACCATGCCTGGGCTACCCTCAGCTCTAGCCTGCACCATGGCCCAGGCCCCATATCTGCTCTCCTGCTTCTGCCCTGGCTCCTTTCCCAACTCACCAGCTAGGGCCATCCTGCTAAAACGAAGGTGAGGGCTCAGAGGCCCCACGGTTCCTGCCTCTCACAGAGCCAGTCTCCCAGTCCTTATGAGACCCACAGGCCCTTTGGGATCCTTAGTCCTCTGCTTCCTCTCAGACCACTCTTCTCTGCTGTCTATTCCAGCGACCCTCACTTCCTTGCGTGAACACACCAGACATGTATCTGCCTCAGGACCTTTGCACTGGCTGTTTTCTCTACCCAGATATCAAGACCTGCTTCCCTCGTGGGCCAAAAGAGTAACCCCCGAAGATGTTCACATCTTCACCTCCCCAACTGATGAATAGGTCACCTTCATGGTAAAGGGGACTTGTAGATGTGAGTAAATGAAGAACCACGAGACAGGAAGATTATTACCCTGGACTATCCAGGTGGGTCCAGTGCAATCACAGAGGTTCTTAGGAGAGTGAGGTGGGAAGGTCAGGAAGATGGAGGGGCTGTGAACCGAGGAATGGGGCCACTTCTAGAACTAGGATGTCACTGTGCCCTCCCTGACAGGGAAATTGAGGTCCAAGAAGGGTGGGGAGTGCCTGGGTTCCTTCCCTCCTGGGGCTCTCCTGCCTTTTGGGTTCCTTGGCCCCACGTCCCCAGTTCACTCTCCTTACTACCCGGCACCCTAGAAGACTCCGATGTCTCCACACCTCCGCACTCAGCGTCTGCTCTTCAGGGCTGACCAGTTCTGGGACCCCTGCCCCCAGAGCCGGTCAGGTCAGGGGCTGGGGACCCGGGGCCGCTGGTGTGCGCTCTAGCCCAGAGCGCCCCTTCCAAACCCCTGCGCTCACAGCAACGCCGCCGGAGCCTTGTGCCTTCCACGGGGCCCTGCAGGGGCCTCGGCCACCTGGGCCCCGGGCGTGGGAGACCCAGGCTTTCCCGGTCAAAGGGCGCGTCCTCCCAGTTCCACGGGACTCCTCGCCCCCTCTGAGGGAAGTGAGCTCACCAGCAACCCTCCAGAGCTCCGCACGGGATCATGTGGCGCCTTCCAGAGTCCATTCCTCAGATGAGGACAAGAATGACTGCTAAACCTTAAAAACAAAGCAGCCGGTTTTCCCAGAGGCGAAGCGAGCTCGCTGGGGTGGACACCGCAACGAGGACCCACACCTGCGCGGGAACAGCAAACACGCTGAGAGCCAAGGGGCGGAGCCTGCATATATACGGCGGGCGGGGGGGGGGGGGGCTGTCCCCGACGGGAGCCCATTGGAGGACACCCGAGAGGCGGCTTCTCATTGGCTGGGCTGCTGCAGGGCGAGTAGACACCTGGGTCCTCTCTTTGGGTGGGCAACTGGGTGCGCGGTTGGTTGCGGGCGGGGCCCTGCCCGCCTCCCAGCGCACGCCGGGTCTCCTTCCCTCCTTTCCCCGCCACCATCTCACCTGGGGAGGCCAGTGACTGGAGGTGCACCCACAGCAGGGGCCCAGAACACGCTCCTCCCCGGCACCTTCCGTTGCTCCGACCTGGCTGCCTCCAACACTTCTGCCCGGGGCCAGGCCTGTCCGCTACCCAGGCGGCCGAAGGGCACTCCGCACGGGCATCCCCGGCCGCTCCAGGGCATGTCCGGACCGCAAAGAGAGGCCTTTAGAATGTCAAGACGACCGCTCTGGCCCATCCCGCAACACAACCACCCCCACCCCGGGACTCTCTGGTAGGTTTCCCCCTTCTAACCCCACCCTCTCTGGCGAACTGGGCCTCCCCCCACCTTGGGGGGGGGGGTGTCTCTCAGCTACCCAGCACGCGACCACACTGCCCACAGGACCCGGCAGGAGCCAAATCAAGGCAGGAAAAGAGCCCTGTTTTTTAAAATTTGTTTATTTTAAAACATGAAACCCAAGCTGAATAGAAACCACAGAAATTACATTGACGAGATTTTTAGTTATCTGCCAAGAAAATAAAGCCCCAAAGAAACAAAAATCAAACCCCAAACCCAGTTAAAAAACAAACAAACAAAAAACGATAATAAAATAAAAATAAAAAACACAGCGACAGCACATACGGCCATGGCCCTAGGGAGGTTGGAGGAAGATGCCGTAGGAAGATGCCGAGGGGTTCGGACCTCAGTTCCCCCTTTCCGCTTAGGGCCCTAAATCACACTGTGGGGGTGGGGTGCAAGGGCCAGGAGGGGAACTGGGAGGGTCAGAGTCTTAACAAAATTATATCGAGTGGCATGTTGTGTATAAGAAGTGGTACAGCGCACAACCATTTCGGTCAAAAAAGCCCCAAAGAAGGTGCCGGCCCCTGCAACCGCCCCCCAACTGGAGCCCAGGGAGGCTACCTGCTGGCCTCCCACAGGGGGCTGGTCAGGGGTCCGGGCTAGGGAGAGAATGGTGCTTGGGCTGGGATTGCATAGTGAGATGGGGTGGGTGGACATGGCAGGGGGTCCCATGGGCCAGATGTCCCAGTCAGACCCCGCTGGTTTGCCCAGCCTGTGGGGGCGCGGGAGCCAACTGGACCCTGTGGGGCTTCAAGACCCTGGGGGGCGCCTCCCTCCCACCTTCCACCCACTTTGTCGAGCCCCCCAACCCCCCGCAGGTGCTGCAGGGCCCGTGGGGACCAAGGCCGGGAGGGGATGTGGAGAGGTCACTGGGATGGGGACTGGTTAGGAAGGGGACCCTGAAAACTAAGAACAGAAAGAAAACCAATGGCAAGACCTGCTCCCCTCCACAGACTGAGGCCGGGGTCTGAACCCCTTTTGATGATTCTCCTTTTCCTTTATTCAACCTCGGTGAGGAGAAGGAAGTGGATGAAGTCACAGACAGGGCAGGCACACACGCACACGACGCACGGGGGAGCTCCCCGGACAGCCGAAGTCCACAGCCTGTCCGGGCAGCGCCCGCCTCCATGCTATGTACATTCACATTGTGGGCGGCCTCCCAGGGCCGCGGTCAGCCGTTGTGCTTCTGAGCAGGGGCCGAGCACACAGCAGGCACCCAGGCAGAATGGCCAGGGCCTCCCTCCTGACGCTGGGCCGGCAATGCTCTCGCCGCTGGAGGAGCCCAGAGGAAAAACTGGGCCGGTCTGCAGTGGAGGCCCAGAGCGACGGCCAGGTGGGGCCTGGAGTACAGCGGCCCTGCAGTGAGGTTTGGGCCGGGCCCATGGGCTCAGATGCAAGGCTCAGGGACCCAGACCACCTGGGCATCTTGTGTTTGCCTGCTCACTCCCCTCCTTTCCCGGGGCAGAGGCAGCCTGGCCCCCAGTCCACCCGCCCTTTTGGTCCCAGACACCAGCACAGAGATAGGATTGTGGAGGAAAGGCGGGTGGCATATCCCCAAACCTGTCCCAGGGAAGGACACTGACCCGGCTCTGGAAGGGAGAGCCCACATGCCAGTAAACAGCTTGGCCAGCTGCCTGCCTCCCACTGCAGGACCCTGGCCCGGGCCGGACACACAGGCCAGAGCCTCTCTGTCTCAGGTTGGCTAGGCCAGGGCTGAGACTGGCAGGGGGGGCTTCCCATCCTGAGTAGGGGGAGGCACACCCTCCACGGCAGGAAACACAGCACACATTGTACACTAAAGCCAAAGCACCTTAGGGGAAGCCTTGTTCCCACTTCACAGGTAGGGAGACTGAGTCTGCACAGACCGCAGTCCTACAGCCCAAGGGACACTCGTTCCCGAGGACACTGTTGTCCTGGGGCAGCACCTGCCCAGGGACGGCTTTCCAGGCTCTCAGGCTGCCTGTCCATCTACAGCCCTTCCCTAGCAGCACCCCAAGAAGAAACGGCTACTCCAGCCCAACTCCCAGCCGGCTACCCTAGGCCTCATCTCTGGCCTGGACTCGGGGTGACACTCGCTGGCTCTAGGTTGACCAGAGGTGCACACAGAGGCTGGGTGAGGTTAGTGGTTAGTCCCAAGTGGGGGCGGCAGGGGCCGAGGGCACATTCACGGCCACAGCTCGGGTCCAGTCCCAAGGCCGGGCCTGGGACGCTGCACCTGGACAGAGAGGGAACCGAGAAGGGAGTGTGCTGCTCGGCCGGCAGCCCCGCCTGCCCTAGGATGACAAATGTGGTTAGTGCAAAAATGAACCAGACGAGCTGCCCAGTCTTGGGGCAGGGGAGGGGGTTTGGCACCAAGAAGGTGGCCAGGACTGGGCGAGCAGCCTGGGCTCGGTGTGACACCTGCCATCCTCTGGCCGCTGCAGAGGGCTGGGCTCCCCCGGCAGGGTGGGTGCTGGGGGAGAGAGTGGGGCTGGGCGGGAGGCTTCCGGCAACTGGCAGGCGGGGCCTTTGGTCGGGTGGAGAGGAGGAGGGACTGCCTGGGAAAACACGCCGAGGCCCGCCGAGGTCCCTCCAGCCGCCGGCCCAGAGGGAGCCCAGAGTGGGCACCGCATGGCCTGTGAACGCAAGAAGGGACGCACAGAAGCCTGGAGGGCGCGGCAGAAGCATCAGAGCTGCAGGAGGGAAAGAGCAGGCCGGGGCGCGAGCCGAGGAGAAGATGGGGGCCCACGGGTTGACCTGGTGCAGAGTAAGTGTCAGGACACAGCACCGAGGCCGGCCCAGAGCCGGGCTCCGTGAAACCCCCTCCTCAGAGGCAGAGGGGCATGGGGGCGGGGCTGGAGGGCCCCGTGTCGGTGGCGCCGCTCCTGCGTCCAGGTGTGTCTCTGCGCCCCTGCGGGAAGGGGAGGGGAGGGGCGAGCGGCCGTGCGGCGGGTCTGGCGGGTCCGGCGGGTGGACGCAGCAGTGCTGGCACGGGGAGGAGCAGGCGATTGGCACGTGTGCGGCGGGCCGGCCGGGGCTGTCTAGTGGCCGCTGCCGCTGGAGTCAGGGCGAGGCTGGCTGGTGGCGAGGTATTTGGCTCTCATGCTGGAGGTGTACTGGAGGGAGACAAGGTGGGGAGAGGGGTCAGCGGGGCGCTGGGCGCAGCGGCGTGGGCCTTGGAGAGCTGAGCGAGAAGCACTGCTGCGGGCAGGACGGGACGGTGGTGGCGTGGCTGGCAGGGCCCTGGCAGAGGGGCTCCAGAGTGGCCGGCTGGCTCCACGAGCGGAGGGCCAGCCTCCGTGCCCCAGGCTCAGGACGGGACTAGCCGGCCTCCTCTTCCTCTTCCGGTGATGAGAGTGTGCTCAGGCATTTGGGCACCCAGCCAGGCAGAGCCCTGCCCCACAAAGGGCCAGCGTTGTGAGGCCGCCCAGCTGCACCCCACATGCCCAGGACCTCCATGCCACACGCAGGCTGCCCTCAAGGGCCTGGCCTGGGGGACGTGGGGAGGCCTCCTCCCCCAGCAGGATCCTGATCGAGGAGCCAAGAGGAGAGCATCGTGCAAAGGCAGAGTCAGGCTGGGTTCGAGAAAGGGTCAGGGGGTTTCCCAATGGCCCACAGCCCCTGGAACCAGGAGACCCCACAGCCACTCTGCCCCATCACCTCAGGGAAAGGGGGATCCCGAAAGTCGCACAGTCCCCTCGAGCTGGGGGATGCTGTTGCCTGCTTGGGTTGGGAACAAAGCGTGGGCTCCTCCCAGCTCCCGGACACTGGAACGGAAGCAGATGGGGGCACGGTGGGGGTGCACGGACGGCACATCCTCTCTACCCTCATCCAACTCAAAGCATGAGGTGCTCAGTGCACACGCGTGTGCGGGTGTCCTCACGATGCACACATGTGGAGGAGACGTGTGCAACAGCCACAAGCCTGAGGGTGTGTGGGCAAAGGCCCAGGCATGTGCCAAGTGTCACCAGAGGTGGGGAGATTGGCAGGCTGACCCCAACCTGAGGCACCACACCAGTGTCCCCAGATGAGGAGGGTCACTATTCCCGGGCCCTGATAGCCCTCCTGGAGCTCCTGGGGGAAAAGAAGGTTGTGAGTGCCAGGGTCAGCCACTACACTGGGAGGGAGGTGCTCTGGGCACCTGGGAGCCATGTCATTGCCGGAACATGCAGCAGGGGGCAGAGCAGCACCCCAGACCCTGAAGGAGCCCAAGCACGCACACGCGGATGTGGGGGGACGGCTTGTCTGCGTGCACCTGTATGTGCTTCTGAACATGCGGGGAGACGCCTCCAGGGCTAGGCCCACTGGCCAGGATGGCGCGAGTGCACAGAGCCGGGCACCAGGGGCAGGCGCACCCTCGGGCCTGCGGAGATGGTCTCCTTGCTGGAAGGGGACAAGACGGGATTGCCTGCAGCTGGGCCGGGGGGCGGGCACTGTGCTGGATGGGAGCGTCATGGGCCCAAGGACAGCGCGAGGTCTCTGGCTGGGCTAGGGATGGACAAGCTCATCGTGGCCCAGAGCTGGCCCAGCGGGGGCCAAGGGCTGAGCAGAGACACAGGCCCGAGGCCAGCCCTGGCAAGGGGGCAGCCGTGAGCGGAGAGCATGAGGCACAGAGGCGTGACAGGCAGGCGGTGCGGGCCACCTGGGGCAGGTCAGTACCTGTCACTCTGAGGGCAGGGCCACCACAGCATTCGGCCACTATCCATGGGCTTAAACTGCCAGCCTGCGTGGCTGCCAGAGTCCAGGGCCGCCAGATAGCGCTAGGAGGGCCCAGGGTGGGAGGGGTAGAGGAGAGAGAGAGAAAGAGAGGGCGACCTGAATGCCAGGCTGTGGGGGGGCCGGAGTGGAGGGCCACTGGAAAGGGCTGCTGGGGCATGATGGGTGGCTTGTGCGCCACACAGACTCTGGTCCGGGCCGTGGGCACCCCAGGGCCACTACACAGGCACGCTTCTCAAGGCGGGTGGCCTTCAGCTTCTCTGGCCCTGTCCTTTGCAGGCCACCACCTCCAGGAAGGCCACCAGGGCCCCTTTCAGTCGGCAAGCTCCTTCTCTTTGGCACCAAACTGCTGTCCCCCCTCTTTTCTGTCTCATTCCTGAGCACAGAGGGGACACTGGCTGGAAGAGCCAGAGGCTGGGTCCTATTCTGAGCTCAGGAAGTCAATGAAAGAAATGAAAGGAAAGTGGACCAGACAGGGAAAAGAGAAGCCAGGACCCCTTGAAGCCAAGCTGACCCACCAGGCAGGTGGCCCCAGCTCACTTGGGCCCCAACGTACCTCCAGGCCAGCCTGAGGCCCACTCGGCACTGTCTCCTCAGGCCAGACGCCCACTGGAGAGCCCTCCCCCCAGCACTGGAGGCGCACAGCCCTCCCCGGCACCCCCCATACCCCTAAGACTTACTGAGGGCGGGGGGGACTCGCGCCCGATGAGGGGGGTGTTCTCACAGCGGGGATTCTGGAAGTTGGCATTCTGGCTCCTGCAGTGTGAGGAGAGGGGGCCATGAGCGACGTCCTCGGCAGGCCCAGGGCCGGTCCAAGGCCGCCCCAGGGCAGACCCAGTGTCCACCCTGCTCAGCCCTGGGCCTTCTTATCACCAGCCTACATGCGGCCCACTGGCAGAGTAGCTGAGAGCTCTAGGCGGCCCTAGGTGGCCCACCCCTGCCCAAAGGGGCCCCTCACCATGAGGCTGGCCCCTGGCCTCACCCCAGGCATCCCCACACCCTCCCTACAGCCTCTGAGCGAGTGGCCTCACTGCGGCCACCACCCAGGCTTGCCAGGACCACCCCGCCAGAAGCCAGGGCAGCTCCTGCTCCAGCCCCCACCCCTCCGTCCAGCTTCTCACTGCGGCAGACGCGCCTGGGTCTGCCTCCCCCCACCCCAGCTCCAGCACGGCTCACATGTACTCGGTGACGGGGGCGTTGCTGACGGTGTGCGCCGCAGCTGGGAGGCTGGTCTCGCTGCCGTAGCTGCTCCCGCAGCTGTACAGGCTGGGCATGTGCACGCGATACAGGCTGTCGTGCGTCTGCCTCGGCCCGGGGGCCGCCTCCTCCTCCCCATCCTCGTCCGGGCCCCTGCAGGGAGGGACACCCAGTGTTCGTCACACCCCGGCCCAGGGCAGCCAGCCAGGGGCCCCGGGCGGGTCTGCTCAGAGGCAGACACACGTGCGGATCCTGCAATGCTAGCCGACGGCCCACGGCACTGTGACGTGCCACCCTGGTTGCATCCTCCGTGAGACGGGGGAGCCGAGGATGCCGACCCGCAGCCTGTACACAGGGATGCTGTCTGCCTTCAGGGGAAGGGGGAAGGGTCCCTCCTCGCCGGGCGGAGAGGGCTGAGGCCTAGAAGTGGGGGTGTCCTCTCCTGGCCCTGCAGGTCCCAGCCTGCACCTTTGGGTGGCCTGAGCCCAATCCTCCCACTCTGCTGTGCTCTGGCCTTCTGTCCCCTCTGTTCGGGCTGCTGCGGGGTGAGGCAACAGAGCCGGGGGCCAGGTCTTAGGCACACGCAGCTCTCCTCACGTCCTGCCTGCTCCGGGTCAGACTTGGGGCCAGGCTACCTGGTGGTAATGGCACAGGTCTGCCAAGCCGGGGCTCCCATCCCACCTCCGAGTGCCAGCTCTGTGACTCTGAGCAGAGGGCCTCCCCTCTGGGCCCCTTGCAGTGAGATAAACAGGACAGGGGTAGCAGCCGGCTGGGCGGCAATGACCAGCCAAGCCCCGGGCTAAGCCCTTACATGCATCGGTTCACCGAGGACCTACCAACCCCAAGACAGGTGTCTCTCACAACCCCCATTTCACGTTAGGGAGACGGAGACCCAGAGTGGTGAAGTGACTTGCCCACAATCACCTAATAAGCAATAATCTGAAACCCAGGCCATGTGGTTCCAGGTCTGTTCTCTGAGCCACTTCCCTAGGGCTGCCACCTTTATTACTACTCCCACCATCACTGCCAGATTTCTCGCTGCCACCACCACTGTCACCGTCTTCAGGACTGTCATCATCAGCATCATCACCATCACCACCCTCACCGCCACCGGCAGGATCACCGGTGCAGAACCCCAGACAGAGGGAAGAGATCTGAGCTGAGGTCCTTGTCATCTGATCTGGGCCACCAAGAAGCAGCCACAGCCCAGTGGGAGGGGAGGTGGTGAGTCTGGGAGATGAAGTGTCAGGCCCCAAGCAAGGGAAGGGGCCCGGCTCCTCCCTGCACCACTCAATGCAGTACTGACCAGGGAGACTGAGGAAGGAGCTGCCAGAACCCCCACTTCAAAGACAAGGACATAACAGCCCCACAGGAAGTAGCTGCCGTCCCGGTCATCCAGCTGAATAGGCCACAGAAGCCACAGCCGCCCAGGGCCCTCCCTGCGGAAGCTCCATGTCCCCCCGGCTGGACAGCTGCTGTCTCCATGCGCGAGCCCTGCACACGTGCCCCAAGGGGCGGGGAGACGGACGGGACACCCCGAGGCCAGCCGGTCAGAGGTGCGGAGGGGCGTGGGGCACGGAGCCGGCGGCGGCGGGCGGGACAGCTGGCTCTACCTGCCTGCCCTGGACTTGCATGTGCCCTGGGCCGGGAGCCCCTCTAGACTCGGTCTGCCATCCGGGAAATGGGGGCTGCTTGCCGCGGACATGCTAGCCTGTGAGCACCGCAGCGGTTTACAGAGAGTCAGCCGGGGAGGAGGCTGTCCGCTGCTGCCTCAGGGGAGGACGGCGGTGTCCAGAAGGCACATCCCGACAACATCCCGCCGGCAGCGTGGCCAGGGGCGAGGGCTGAGCCCCTCACCTTTTCTGCTGCCAGGTGTGGGGGACGCTGCAGACGATAGAGCTGAACATGAGAGCCGTGACGAGGGAGAAGAGCGCCAGGTAGACGAGGCCCTCCACGCCGTCATAGCAGAAGCCCGTCAGGGCCTGTACATAGTCCTAGGGCCAGACAGCATGGGGACAGCCGGCCCAGAGACCGGAGAGAGACAGGGAAGGCAGGATGAGATGGGACGCGCGGAGCCGCAGCCCAGCCCACGGCTCGCCGCCTGACAGCCCCCCGGCTCCAGCCTGGGCTTCGGGCCCCCCACCCATGGGTGCGCGCCCATTCTCCAAGTCCCCACCCCCACCCAGGTGCATCCTCTGCCCCCCAGCCCCCAGCCGCACCCCTGCCCCCCAGCTGCACTTCCAGGTGCACTCTCTGCCCCCCAGCTGTACCCTCTGCCAGCCCCCCAGCGGCACCCCTGCTCCCAGCTGCCGCACCCTGGCTCGGGAGGCCGGTTCTCACCAGATGCAGGCTGCGGCAGTCCACCAGGGCGGTGAGGTGCTGTAGGTTCACCTCTGTGCTGTTCAGTACCTCCTGGACACGGAGCAAGGGGTCCTGGGCGGGGACACATAGCACACAAGGTCGGTACCACGGTCAGGAGGGGGGGCCCCGAGCCAGGCATAGGTCCTCTGGGAGCCCTCCAGGTGCCCGTCCACCCATACCCTGCCATCGAGACAGCCCTTGACCCCGTGGTCTTGACCCAGGCTCTGAGGACCTTGGGTTTCTAGAAATGAGGGCCAGAGTCTGTGTCCTGGCCCCAAAGGGACTGCTGAGGACAGAAGCATACTGGGGTAAGTGGGACCCATGAACGCCTGTCAACACAGGAGGGACAGCAAATGCCCACGTAGCTCCTGATGGGGGCCTGGCTCTCTGGAAGAACCTTACTTTCAGGAACAGTTAAGGAGAAAATTTTCATACTATTTTAAGTGACAAAACATTATTCAAACACTCTGTATAGAGCGAGCCTGGTCCCGTAGTGTGTGTCTGTCCCTCTGTGTGTGCGTGGGCATGGGCACCTCTGCCGCATCCTGTCCATGGGCAGACGACTCCACAGAACCCTCCAGGGTGGACAGGGTGCCTCGAGACCAACCAGAGGGCCCAACACGGCCTTCCATGGCGCACGTCCCAAGAGCGCCCAGCGATTCTGAAGCGGATCCCCAGACAACAAGACTCGCCATTCGGGGCTGAATGGTCACTTCCTGCACCAAATTCCTATGTTGCATTCCTGACCCTAAACACCTCGGAATGGGGCTGTCGGTGGGGTCTTTCAAGAGGTAACTAAGGCAAGCGGAGGTCACGAGAGACGGGGGCTCCAATCCCATGGGACCGGGGTCCTGTAAGAGGAGGGGGTCGGGGCACACACAGGCAGAGGGGGACGACTGCATGAGGACACGGGGAGAACATGGGGTCTACACACCACGGAGAGAGGCCTCGGGAGACGCCTGCCCAGACCATGCCTGGTGTTGATGACTTTGACTTCTAGCCTCTGGCGCATGAGGGAGCGCATCTTGGCTGTCTCAGGCTCCCCGGGATGCAGAGCTCCCCAGTGGGACCCCAGCTACCTACCCACTCGCTCGCAAAATACCCAGAGGGTGCCCTGGCCTGAACAAAAGTAAGAAGCAACTGCAATAGTGTGTCTCCATGTGCATCTTTTCCTTAAGTTTTGCAGCTTGTTACAGAAGGTCCAGCTGGTCACAGAAGTCTGAGCCCAGCCGTGTGCACACATGTGCCCCAGCCCCCTCCGCGCTCTGCAGTGGGGCACACACAGGCAGGACCCCCGCGGGCTGACCCCTCTCCGCCGCCCCCAGGCTGACCCCCGGGGACGCTAGACTTCGTCAGGAGTGCGGTAACAGACGTGTGGACAGAATTCTCAGGACCCAGAACACTGCAAGGGAAAAACCGCCAACCCCCCGCCCTCCCAGTTCCCAGAACACCTCCAAGGGCTGGGGGCGGACCTTCCTTTGTTCCCACATCTGTCCCCGTTTTCCCTTTTCATTTTTTTTTTAATTCAAAGAGTTGGTATTACTTTTAAGATAAAGAGCTACATTATTTTTAAAAACCTAGCCCAAACCCCTGGGGCAATGACAGGCAGTGAAGGGGAGGAGGGGAAGCCTCTGTGAGGAAGGGTGGGGGAGGGGTGGCGGCAGCCGGAGCTGGGGGCACAGCACCCTGCTCACCTTGGTGGCCGGGTACTCCCGGGGGACGGTCTTCAGAAGCTCAGCCACCAGGTCCTGCATCTCCACCAGCGCCTTGTGGCTGCCAGACAGCTTCTGCTCCACAGAGAGGCCTGCTGACTCCGGCAGGGGTAGCGCAGCCCAGCTCCCCTCCCCCAGTCCCACCCACACCCAGGTAAGGCAGTGCCGGGGTCTCGGGGGAGCCCTTGGGGAAGCTGCTCCTGTCCCCGGGAAGCTGCTCCTGTCCCCGGGAAGCTGCCCACACACACAGAGGGAGTAAGATCACCGAAAGCATGGTGACTTCAAAGCAGGGAGCGTTTCACGACCCCAGGGGCCCGCACAATCTTGGGCAGTGACAGCATTTCCCTCCAGACTCCACTGTGACTCTGGCTCAGGTGTTCCACAGTGGGCCCAGGACCCCTCCCCCGGTGAGACATCCCTGGGCCCCTCCGCACCTGCCCTGCCTGAGGTTGGCTTTGCCCTGCAGGGTGGCCCCGGGGCGACCCAGGAACTGACAGGAATTCCCAGTCCCTGGGGGGCATTAAGCAGTCCACCCCAAAGGGCTTGCGCCAAGGGCATCAGGGCGCTAACCACGGGCGCAGTTAGCGACGCCAATGTGGCATTCATCCAGCGGCCCCCCGCCCCCCAGCTCCTGGGGTCCCAGGGTCTCAAGGCCTCTGAGAAGGGCTGAGGGCCGCAGGGCTTCCCAGGGGTGGAAGCAGCTGAGCACTCACCTGCTGGAAGGGGTTGGTGGCCCGGGCCGAGCAGGCCAGGTAGTACTGCAGAATGTCTGCGGACAGAGGTCAAGGCGGTGGTGTGAGGGCGGCCGTGTGCATGAGCCGTGTGTGCGCCCGTGTGAGCCCATGTGTGTGCTTACATGCACCTGCATGGATACTGCGCGCACATGTGTATGTGCACTTCTGCACGAGTGTGTGAACAGACACACATGCCCACACATCTGTATGCACACACACACACGTCTGTATGCATGTATGTGTGTGCACGTGTCCATGTGTGCATATGTCTCTGCACACATGCGTATGCAGGTGTCTGCATGTTGTGCCTGTGTGTACTCAAGCACATGTGTGAGGAGCTGTGGCCTACAGGGAGCCCAGGGCCAGGGCCCAGACCCTTCTGCTCCAAGCAGGGTCCTTACGGCACGCACATGTGCCCTGTGGGATGCAGCCCTCTTCCTCTTTTCCCTCTGGGGCAGCAGTAAGGCACTGGGGGTGGGCAAGGGGTCAGAAGAGACGCAGGGATGCATGGGCTCCTTGCTGGCAGAGGAGGGGACAGGGCCTGGACACGGCTATCGGGAGGGCCCAGGACTCAGGTGGCCTGTCTACTCCCCATTAAAACATGTGTCGATTCTGTGTCCAACATTTGAAGATGGGATTCACTTACAATTGTGATTCTGGAGACCCCAGGAGGCCCACACCTGGCTGTAGCTGAGGGAGGAGCGGGGAGCCCGTCTGCCTGCCCCACGCCCATAAGGCTCTCACACCCGCAGACTCGGGGCTCAGCGCCCGTACCTGCAGCAGCGACACTGTGGCTTTGGAGTCCCAGGTGCCTCCCTCCTGGGGCGCTGAGGCCCAGGACAAGAGCAGGTGCATGGGGCTGGCCGCAGCCTGGCCCCCTTCCTGCCCTGCTCCCACCTCGGCCTCTCGGGGCTGGGCTCCTACACAGCTCACTTTGGCCGCTTGTAGAGGGGCCGGCACGCTGGCCTTGGCTCTGTCTGGCCCCGGGAGGGGGACCCGTGGCTTCCAGGCAGGATCTCACACTCCCTTGAGGCTGGGGGCTGCTCGAGCTTGCTAAAGACCTGGGAGTCCTCAGCAGTGAGGACCTAGAAAGGCTGGGGACAGTGGTGGGCACAGCAGGGCCACTCCTCCCCCATGGGAGGGGGAGGAAGGCAGACAACCCTCCCTCTTGGGGGCTCCTCGGGCTCAGGTGGAACCTGTTCCTCCAACCAGATAAGCCAAAAACCAGCCCCCTGCTCATCCCTGTGGCTTTCTAGGCAAGGAGGGAAGACGGTCTTCTGAAGGCCAGCATTTTAAGGCCACTTAGAACCCCTGTCCCTGCGGGGACAGTGCCTCCACCCTTCTCTAGAGGAACACGCAGCACCCACAGCAGGGCACACCCACGAGCTTAACACCTTCCAGCTCTGGCTGCACCTGAGCCCCAGAGCCCCACATGCAGCTGCCTCTTGAGATGGCCAACTGGCCTCACACTGTGGCCCCCAGCCTCACCTCCAGACCCGCTCCCTGCCCCTACCTCGGTCCACAGCTCCAGTGACCATGGCAGCTCAGGCAGAGAGCAGGTCCTTGGCGCCTCCCTCCCTACACCCCACTTCTCCAGGAGCCCTGTCCTGCTGCTTCACAGCACGTCCCCATCCATGCTCCGCCCTGCTGGCTCAAGGCACCCCATCTCCTGACTAGAGGAGCGCAACAGCCTCCCTGCCTTCCTGCTTGACCTTGTCGCTCCAGCAGCCCACAGATGCTTTGATAAGGCAATCCAATCTTGGACCATGTCTCTTCTGGGCTTCCCACTCTCCAATGGACACCCCAGAATTAAGCCCAAATTCCTGTCCTTGACCTGGCCTGCTGGGCTCCCCACCCTTTCCTCTCCCAACTGGTCTATTTTCTGCCTCACAAACATACCAAGTTTGTCTCTGCCTCAGGGCCTTTGCACAAGACACACAGCCTTCTCTTGTTCAATTTTAATGCTACCTCTTTGGCAGGCCACACTGCTACCTGCTCTGAAGTGGCATGTCATGACTTGCCTTGCCCCCCTTGTCACCTGTCCCCACCCTCACCACCCCCGTCCCTGGCTCAACATAGCCCCGTCCTCATCCTCAGCACCCCCCGTTCACAGAAGGTGTTCCTGTTCACTTACTAACTTCCTGATCGACGTAGATCCTGCCTCCCCCAGACTGAGGACCCAGGAGGGAGAGGATGCCTTGGCCTAGCTCAACGGGGTCTCCCTAGCCTGGCTGCTGGGGTCCTGGCTCAGACACGGCTGCAGACTCACCCCCACTCAGCACCGAGTGCTCCTCCACCATCCTGGTCACATAGGTGTCGGGGTCCACACAGAAGTCACTTGAGCCCTGGGGGGATACAGGCAAGGAAGATGGGCTGACCAAGCTAGGTCCCCCACCCTTCAGCTCTCACAGATAGAGCCTGCGGCCCAGGTCTGCTCTCAGCCCCGGAAGGTAACATGTAAATGCTGTGTGCCCACGGAAAAAAGTCTCCACTTCTCGTGGAACCTCAGTGTCCCAGGCGAGAGGCATGTGACGTTCCCCACCCCCTTCCCATGCCTAGGCCCAGCAGACCAGGATCACACATACCCCTGCTACTCACCACAGACACGGCCAGCTCCAAGCCCAGTGAGCCCCAGCTGATGACCAGGGCCAGCACCCCCAGGAGGCAGACCCTTGGGGCAAAGAAAGCCAATCAGCATCCCCCAGGCTGGGATGCCTGCAGGCCAGAGGGCCAGGGCCCCGGGGAACATTGAGGGGGTCTCCCCACACAAGGGCTGTGGCTTCTCCCGTGGCCTGGCCTTAGCCAGAGCCACCCAAAGGCCAGGCACAGATGGACTTCTCTCCCACCTGCGGTGGGGCTCAGAGCTCAGAAAGTGGCTGGTTTTCCTGCTTCCCCCTCCCCTGAGCGGACAACGGGTCTTGGCCTTCACCAGGCTCTCCCTTTCCCCCAAGCACTGTCACCAGCAGCGCCTGGCCCAGGTGGGGGCAGGACACAGCTGTTCAGCTGTCCTGGGGGAAAGGAGGCCAACATCTCACAACTACCCTACGGATGAGCCATCCCCACCTTCGTCTTTGAGATGAGGACACGGCGGAGCATCCGTGTCCAGGGGCCACCCGCCCCAGGTGGCCAGCTGAGTAAGCCGCACAGCGGGGATCTGAACCCACAAGGCCTCCAGGCCAAGGACAGAGCCTCCAGTGTGACCTCCTGGTGTCCCCATGAGCTGGTGGGGACCCACCCCTCGGCAGACCTACGGCTACACCCACAGATGGGCGAGGGGGAGGCAGGGTTGATTGAGAAGGTGGTGCTGTGGGCGCTGCCCCCTGCTTCCCACCGGCCCTCAGGCCCACAGACTCACCCAACCAGAATGCCCTTGGAGCTGCGGATGAGGCCCACAAGCACCAGCAGACAGATGGCCACTTCGAGCAGCAGTAGGCCGAGGTAGCCCAGCCACCTGTGGGCACACAGAGGGTATGGGTGGGGCCCAGAGGGGCACCCACGGGCAATTCTGGAACATTGGGGGCCTAGGGGGCTGCCATCAGCTCTTGTAAGAGGTTCTGGGGAACTTGGCCCCTCCTACCCACCAAACCTCAGACCCCGGGCTCTAGGGGCCAGTTGGGGCAGGGGGCAGAAAAGGCGGCCAGCCGCACCTGTACCAGTCGTAGAGGTCCACCTGCTCCGCCAGCACCTCGAGCGACACGGCGGGGTTCCTCCAGAACGGGATGGCCGCTGTGTAGCCCAGCAGCGTCCCCAGAAGGCCCCGCAGCCGCTGCACTGCACGCAGGGGCTCCGGCCGTGCCGCCAGCTGCCGCTCCAGGCTCTGCAGACTGGGCTCCGCCGAGCGGTTCAGGGCGGCCGCCGTGTCCCACACCTGCGCCGGGCCGGGGGCCGGTGAGCCCGGGCACAGACCCGCTCCCAGCACATGCCCACCCCTGGGGCGCACACGCAGACACAGGGTTCAGGGGCAGGAACAGAGCCCCCCCTTCCCATCGGACGGCCACTCACGCGGTCCTGGACCCCTGCCACTGTGCGGTTGGCGTGGCGGAGCGAGTAGGTGGCCCGATGGATGCCGTCACTGGTCTCCCCGTTGCCATAGAACCCCACGGCGATGCCGGCGCTGGGACGGGGCGGGGGGGCGGATGAAGGCGCATCGCCTGCACGCGGGGGGGCCCTACCGGAGGGGGGGTGGGGAGTCCGGCCCGGCTTGCCCCTTCCGGCCCCGCCCCCACCTGGCCATGCGCTCACCTGCAGACCAGCGTGGCGATGATCACGCACCAGGCGGTGCAGCAGCAGTCGGCATCCAGGTGCTCCTCGCTCTTGCGCCGCCGGCAGCACAGCCAGAAGGAGTAGAAGAGCAGGAAGAGGAGGTCCAGGGCGAGGCAGGCCAGCGCGGTGGCCCCCAGCAGCAGCAGCGCCTGTGGGAAGTGGGGAGGCAGCGCTGGAGGGGCGGGCGCGCGGCCAGCTCTGCCGCACCTCTAACATGCTGCGCGGGGCGCACTGGAACCCAGCCGTCCTCCAGCCCTGGGGGCAGAGGCTCCCCACACTTGGGTGCTTGCCAGTGAGCCCCCAGACTCCCGTCCTTAACCCTGCACTAGCCACCAGGACTGGCCCAAGCCACACTCCCAGCGGCCAGGTGAGCATGGCCATGGGGTCCTCCCAGGTCCAGGGCCCCCAAGCCCAAGCCCAGGAAGGAGGGGCCGGGTGGGCAGGGCCAGCACTCCTGATGATGGCCCCGTGGCCACGGAATGCCCCTAATCTCCTGGAGCCCATTTTCTCTTCTGTAAAAAGGGAAGGAATGCTCTCCCCAGAAGAGGCCAGTGGGAGTCTCCAGGCCATGCGCACCATGGAACCAGGCACACAGCAGGGCCCTCCCTCTCGGCATGGACACTGCTCTGGACCTTGCTGCTTTTGTGAGCCCCCGGGCCCTGGGCAGCCAGAAGGGCCCCGAATTCTCCAGCCACATCCAGGAGTCACCAGGGAGGAGGAAGTGCCCCCGCAGCACCCTCCTGTCACCGAGGTCGGCGCCCCCGATGGGAAGTGGTTGACTTGCTCCAGCAGGGACACCCACTGTGGGCTCGGCCCGGGGCTGGGCCTCCACCTGTTGGAGCACATGGCTCTCCCTTTCACCTGGCCCAGTGCATCACCTCCGTTCCACTGATAAAGAAACTGGCTTCAGAGAAGTTATGGAGGAAGGACCCAAGTCCCACGTCACAGCCCGTCTGGGACCTCTGCCCATGTCCTGTGTTGGGGTGGGGGTGGTGGCCTGATGGAGCTGCAGGCTGGGCCTGACCATGTTCACCTCCTGGGTAGCGGGGGCGCTAAGTACCAGGCAGAAGGTCCAACACACAGCGGCACCCACCCCACGGGGACCATCAGATTTGTGGTATGGCCACTGGGCCCCCCACAGCTGCCCTCACTGGCACCGCTGCAGAGATGCTGGGCCTCAGGGAGACCTGGAAACACCCTCCCTCCCCCAGGTCTGAATGCTCAGCAACAGTGGCTGAGGGTGTGTGTGTGTGTGTGTGTGTGTAACACCCACCTGCCCCTCCCCCACCCACCGCAGGGCCCCCCCTTGGGAAGAGGCTCAGCCACCTTGGCCCTGGCCCCCAGCAGCTGTCTCCCAGGAGATGGCTGCCAGGCAGCGGAGGCAGGATGGCACTCCCTGCCCTCCCAGGGGCCCGTTGGTCCCAGAGGTCTCCTGAGGCCCACCGCTCCCGGCCAGCATCCCCCCACACCTAAGGCGGGGCTCCCCCACTTCCCACCAGACAAGGGCCTGCCCCTCTAGCCATGCTTCAGAGCAACACGGGCACCCCGGGGGCTGAGGTGCTGTCTGGAGCCACCACAAGGCACGGGATGGGGAGGACCAGGGTGACACCATGAGGCTGTGGTCACAGGCCACTGCCCTGCCCTGTGGGCTGCCCCATACTGCCATCTGGCCACAAGGGGTGTCAGGGGCTGGCGCCCTCCCTTCCTCCTTCAGGCTGGGGGTGCAGCTGCCCACCGCCCCCTCACTGGCAGGAGGCCTGATAGGTGCCCTGAGGCCCTGCTCATGAGCTGGCAGGGGGAGGGGAACTGGCCTCAGGGGCACCACATGGGCCCAAGGCTCCTGGAGGGCAGGGGCGCTCACGTCACGGAGGGTACTCCCAGCACCCAGGCCGCAGCCAGGAGCCTCCAGGCCGCAATCAGGGGCGTGGCAGGGGGCCAAGGGCCAGTCACGGAGGGGGCTCGTCTTGCGGGTCCTGGTATCAGGCACTGCCCTCATCCTGTCCAGCCCCGGATGTCAATAAACATCAGAGTGCTTGCAACAGCACCGTCCTATGGGTTCCCCGGGTCTGCCTCACACGCACAGTCTGGACATTGACCCGAGGGCTGCAGGCCCTGCCCACCTGCTCTCTCTGGGCAGAGGCCAAGGGCGGAACACAGCACGGCTCCTGGGGCCATGGCTCGCTTGGGACATCTGCACTTTCCTAGCCCAGGCTGCCTCCCAGTCACCAGTCCTGACACAGCCACCTCTTCTCCACCCTGCCCCTGGGCCCTCCAAGACCACAGCACACCCAGACCCAGCCCCCTTTCACCACCCTGCTGACCCTGACTCCCATGCTTCCCTGTCCCTGCCCTGCGCTCACAGTCCCCCTGAAGGTCACCTTTTCTCCAACAGCTGTCCCTTGGTCCTGGCCCTGCCCTGCCATCATGCCACCTCCTATCCTGCCTGTAACCCCTCGCCCCACGCATGCAGAGAACAGTGGGCATGGAGTGGGTGTTCAAATACGCACACGGACACACGTCCTCCAGAGGATGGGGAGCCGGGGCCAGAGGCCCAGGGCCCCAAGAGCCCACCTACTCTGGCGCTCACGGTCATCAGGACTCCCAGCACTGACGGGCCCAGGCGCTGCCTCAGAGATGTCCGGACCACCCACTCCCATTTGCCAGGCAGGAAAACAGGCCAGCCAAGCAGGCCCCTCACACCTGGAGGGAGGCGGGGCTTACAGTGCCTCTGGGAGCCAAGCCAGCCTGGTAGGTCCCCGGAGGGTACTGCCCGAGGGCTCTGGAGCTGCCAGGCTGGTGGAGGGAGCCGGAGGCGCCGCCTGCTGGACACGAGCTGGGCCACGCAAACCAGAGAGAGCAGGCCAGGGTGGTGCACCGGGCCTTGTCCGTGAGGTCCTTGTCCACGTCCGGAAGGTCCCTGAGGCCGGGAGTCACGCTTGTACCTTTCCTGGGTCCTCTCCTACCGCTTTGATTTGGTTTGTTTTGTTGTTGTGGGTCTTTTGGGGTTTTCTTTTTTTTAAACCACACACTTATACTAACTTCGTAATTACAGTGCAGAGCCAGAAATCTGTCAGTAGCTCTTTCCAGCCGAGTGCGGGAGGCCCTGGTCAGAGCCCAGCTCTGCCACGTGAGCGTCCCGTGCAGTCTCGCCCGGCCTCTCTCTGCACCCCGTTTTCACCTCTTTGAGTCGATGGGAGTGTTCCTCGGTCCTCTGGGCTATCCTTGGGGAGAAGGCCCCCGGGACCCCAAATTGGGCCCCTCTCGGTCCATGGTGTGGTCCCACAGGCCCTGCTGGTGTCCAGTTCCCCAGGAGCCATGACGGACAGGAGGGGAGGGATGTCCTGGCTGGCTAGCAGGAGGCCCAGAACTACCTGCTGCTAGACAGAGGAGCGAGGGAGGGGGGTTCTGCCCCGCCCCCCCAGCCACCTGAAATCTGAGGCCCACGTGGGGCAGTCCAGCCTGCTGGGAACCAAAGCACCGAGGTTCCGGTGCTGCTCAGCCTGGCTCAAAGACATGACCATGAGTCAACCTCGTGCCTCAATTTCCCCACCTATAAAGGAGAGACAGGAACATCACTCTCCTGGCCCGGGACTGTGAGGATGTCAGGAGCTAGTCCCTCAAACACGCAGAACAGCACCTCCACCGGGGTCCCCCAGGAAAGGTCAGGGTCCTGAGGGCGGCTGCTCCCAGGGCCAGCTCTGCCACCGCACAGCCCAGTGGGCTGGGGGCAGAGAGAGGGCATCCTGCCTGCTGGGGGGGCTGGTCCAGGGCCACTCAAGGACAGGCTGAGCATGCCCACATCTATACCCACACGTGTACTCCCGCACATGCGTGTCCACACTCACATGCACACATCTACACCCATCTGTTCCCAGACGTTCACACCTGTATTCACACTCACACATGCATGCAAAGGTGTCACCCTGTGACCTCCCCAGCAGGGGCACAAACAGCAGCTTTTGGCTGGAGCTCCTGGGGATGAGGGGGTCCCTAAGAACCTGGGTGTTGCGACACCTGCTGGGACTGGGAAGTGGGGAAGGCCGCCTCACACACGGCCACCTGGCTGGGGGGCATAACCGCCATGGCCACGGGAGCGGAGGATGCTCCCATCCCAGCCCAGCCTTACGGAGCCAGTCAAGGACCAGGGACTCAGGGAGGACCATTGCCAGGGAGCCCCGGGCCAGGCTTGATGGGGGTCAGCTCTGGGGCTCAGAGCTGGGTACCAAGGAGGTAAGTTACTTTCCAGAGGCTTCCTTGGAGGCAATGACAGGCAGAAGCCCAGGTGCCCCGTCACCCCCACATACCCCTGGAACCCTGCCCACTAGGAGCTAGGCGTCCACCTTGCCCCCTGCTGGTTTTCCTCCCCAGCTTCAGGAAGCCCCCTTACTAGGAGAACGGGGTCTGTCTGCATAAACCTTCCCCGGGGGATGCTGGAAAGGCCTCACTGAGCTCATCAATCTAGCGGAGGCGGTGCCCACTCACACTTGGCCCCGGCCTCCAGCTCTACACCCCACGGTCTGACAGGACAGTGGCTCTGGGGCCTGGGCCACCACGAATTCCCTCTGCCCCCAGGGAAGGTGCTGGCACCTCCGGCTCACAGGTGTGGCACGGGGGCACAGTGGTGGTGGGGGGTCTAGCCCATCTAGCAAAATTGCAGAGCCCGTCGCCGTCTGGGTGCACGAGTCGGGCACGAGGGCACCCAGTGTGACCTGTGCCCGTCTCCTCTTCTGCTGGCGTTGCCGTGGCAGCCCCGCCTCCCCTGGCCAGGAGCTGGCGTCCCCTTCACTTCCCCTGGGCCCATTCAGAAAGAGAATGGGAAATGTCTGATCAGCATCTGGGCTCTGACCAAATGGAATTTTCCGTCTGTGATGGAAATGATGTCAGCACTCGGTCAGGCGAGGCGAGATGCTCGGGCCCGTGTCCCGACCGCTGGCCACAGCGCTGGCTGCCAGCCACCCGCAGCACTAAGCACACACTGGGCTCTGTGAGGGTGCTTGCAGTGGGGACTCGGTGTGGCCCTCCCGCCCCCCCCCCCCCAGCCCTCCAGCTCATTTCTCAGCCCTGGGCCACCCCCTCCTCCCAAGGCCCCTGCAGTCCCCGCCGGAGCACAACCCCCTGCCCTGGCCTGTGGCCAGACACTCTCCTGCAA